CTTAGAACTTTTGTTTCCTAGAACCAAGACAGACTGTGATCTAGCTCTGAATTAGGCAGTTAGTATCTGCATGAATCTATAGCTGCACACATCCTTGTGACAACAGAAAGTTAGCAGTCCCTCTTATTCTGTGAATGGCTTCTAGCAATAAACCCAGTAGGAAGAAAGAAAACATTTAATTAGGTGCTTTAAGGCACAAATGTCTCATTCACCAAAGGTCAATTCACACCTGCTAACTATTCTCCTTGGAGGTGAGCTATACTCAACACTAGAAGGGGAGAAATGGCCTAGGCGTGACATACTTTTACACAAAGCCATTGAAATGCACCCTCTGTATGTGGCAATGCTCTCAAATTAGCCCCGAGCTCTCCACCTCCTTACGGGTTAAGTAACACCATCCTTTGGGAAGCCGTTCGGGAGGCTGCCTCTGAACACGAATGCATGTGCCCATGGGTGTACATGAGAAAGAACCCTCATGTGTACACGCATTACATGTGTATATTCGCATCCATGATCTTAAATCTGGACTAGAGACAACCTGGAGGGTTCGCTATCTGTGGGAAAGTCCTGAAATTTACAGTAGGCACCAAGCTTCTCTCCTTTCTTTTCATGAGACAAACTCTAGGGCTATGAATCAAATACTATCCTCCATGGGTCTTTCAATTAAAGCACATAAACGCTCCTTTTCCTACACGGAGAACAGGAAGCATAGTTACTACCCCAGGCAATCTGGAAACAACTCAGAGCATTCCTAACTGGATTCCTCATAGTGAACATCATTTTCAAGTCTGCAGAGCAGACAGAATAGAGCAGAGGTTTTTCAGCTGCTTACAGCACTGCAGTGCTGCAGCTTTCTCAGGGCAGGCATAGTTAAATTCTCTCCCCCCTCACAAAGGAAATAATCCCAGAGTAATTTCCCCAAGCCCATCCCTTCTGCGCCCCAGGACTGCATATCCCGCCTGCATATCCCTCCCCCTGCTTCACCTTCCCATCATCTACACCTCATGACATAAGCACCACAGAAATCCCTTAAAACAAACATGAGAATTTGGAATTTGATCTCCTGTGGACTTGAGTTACAACATGCTCAGATCCCACAGTCATCCCACTGCAGTGTTGTGGGGGCAAGGTTTGGTGTTCTCACCTTATGTAATAACGAGGGTGACTGCACATACATCACATACCCAGAGCTCTTTAGTTCCAAACCAAGGCCAAACTCTTTATCATGGAATTGAGCATAACCCTATAACTTTACCAATGGGGTTGGATTCTCTTCCTAGGCATTGTCTGACTCCTTCTGCCTCTAAGATACTGCTTTCTATATGCCTCTAGGTATAAAATGCAAGGTATGTTATTTACAAGAGGATCACACTGATCCCATGCTATGGAGAGGATGCAGAGACCCATCAGCTGTCAGAGATCCAAGCCAGCAGACCGTGAGTTGCAGAGCTGAGTGCTGTACAGACAGATGCCCCACGGCAAGCGGCTGACCGGGCACTCTGCTTCCAGCCACCAGCTGAGGTGGCTCAGCCAGCCCCAAGCCTGCTGTAGCTGTGCCCTGGTGAGGCTTGGAGCTAGAGGCAGGGGAAGAGATGCTGCAAGGATCCTCTCAGTCCTTTAACGGGGGGCACTTCCTCTGTGTACCTCTTAATTCCAGTCTCTGGGGTGTTGATGCTCTTGGTCACATCCTGCATATAAAATCTGTGGTCATACCTTTTTGTTTCAGCTCTTTACAAGAAGAGCTGTTCAGGGACAGATGTGTTCCTCATTGATCTCAGGCCAGTTTATCACAAGAGAGTTTGCCACCAGCCTTGCTTTCTCTTGCTGCTGTTGTGATGCAACATGATATAACAGTGCACAATTTGAGTCACCAATACTTTTGCAGACTGTCCATGCTGAAGACTACCCCTATTCCCTCCAAAACACTAGCTGTTGCTTTTTGGTATGCTACCTAAACATATGGTGGTCTGATTGAACCAAGACTCCAAAGTGTAGCATTTATTATTTTGGAATTCATACTTAATTCAGTTAACAAATAACAAGAAAATATACCTTTAGGTTGTTTTTTTTTATTATTATTATTAAAAAAAAAAAGGTAAGCATACTTGTGCTTAATTGTTATTCTAATTACACGTTCTGGTGTAGTGTAAATTTTTTCCCTTGGCATTATTATGAACCTCATTTCCTTACAAAGTCCAGGATAAACAATTCCAATATATTTTGTTTTAATTATCAGGGTTTAATGGGGCATAATGCGACTATGTTGAGTGGTGCAGAAAAAAAATAATTTAATGTGTGCAAAACTACTGAGTGCTCCTAGCCTGACTGTGCATATTTCACCTATTGTAGGGCAGCACTATGCTGGCTAATATTCAGTGTGCCCATCATTTATTTATTAATCATACTTGATTTCAACAGAAAATTTTCCTTTTTTTTTTTTTTTTTTGCCTTGGCATCTGAAACAAGAAGAAACCCATTAAGATATCCTGGGAAAAATGGACAATTCTCTAAGTTGAGCAGTGAAGGATGCAGCTGATACATAGCCGATGTGGTACTAGAAGCATTTGTCATGTCACGGACATAAGAGTGTGTTGGATGTAGAACTTGCCTCAGCCAGTCTGTTCCAAATGCAGTCTTTCCATCAGCATTATTTGGCAGTGAAAACTTCTGGCTTCAGTTCTTAGGGCCCCCACCAAAAGGAGCATAGATAACACCATTCAGAAATGACCTTGTCTGGACACTGTAGATCCATTTTCCCACTCCCAAGGTATGGTTCCTACAAACTTAAAACACCAGGGATACTTCTGCAGTGAAAGCTGCAAAACAGCAGCCTGGGAAGTAAACCACTGAAGTGAGATTACAACCCTTTATGGTTTCCAAGGTCCCTTTGCCAATGGCACTGAACCCAACGGCTGGGCATGGCTGATGCAGCAGTCAGCACCACCCTGCTACCAGATTTATATTCCACTTTACCAGGGTGACCATATACCAAGATCAAAACACCTTTCTGCCCTGTTCCCCCCAAGTTTTATGTAGGCAGAGGAAGATTTTAGCCATTTGTCTGGGAATTCTGAACACAAGGCAGTGTGGTCAGCATAGCCATGATGGGCTCTTCTGTATAAAGGACAAATACTTTTGTTGTGCCATGCTGGGCATGTAGAACAGGTTTGAAGCATTCAGTCATACTAGAGTCCCTGTGCCTGCACCATATAGCTCACACACCACCCGTTCAGCATGTGAACTATGGGATGGTTCCTGTCACAGCCCGTTTCCCTGGCTTGTGGGAATGAAGCCTTTTGTCCCCAACAGATCGGAGCTTTCTGAATGCTTCACTGCCTGTTCCAGCCTAGACTGAGCACCAAGTCCTTTGCCTTAACGGGTGCTCCCAGCAGGAAGACCTGCTCCTTGGAGCTGCTCTGACATAGGAGTGTCACAGCTCCGATGATAAAACAATCTCTGCAGCCTTCCAGAGAAACAGCTAAGGAGAAAACACTTCTCTCCATACAGACCCATTCATGCCACCCTTTCTTTCTAAATCCTTGTCTTGCCTAGGCTCCTCTACTCCACCCATTCCAGTCTGTAGTTCTGATAAGCACATGCCTGGCCACACACAGACACATAGCCTTCTGCAATTAACAGTATTTTTGTCATGGCTTTCCAGTTTAGTGAAATTTTAATAAAGGCATCCCCAAAATATTACAACACACATGAAAATAAAGCCTTACACACCATGAAAACTAAAACCATCTCAGGTGTGTTACATTCAGGACCTCCACGAGGTAGGACTTGTTACAAGCACCACACATGACCAACATGAAGGGCTTTAATCTCTACACCTAATTCAAGTGAAAGTGAATTACAAGAAACTTCACTGTGAGTTGCACTTCAGGAGTAATTACCGGATCCTCCCTGAAGGGAAACACATCTATTCTGCTTATTCATTACACTCAACATCGAAGTCAGACGACTTGATACTGAAGCCAGTGGGAATGTCCTCTCTTCTGGAAGAGTATTTGATTCATGACTCTAGGAAGGAGGTTCAAATACAACACAAAGGACACAGACTGATGTTACATTATATTTATTTGAAAATTAACATTTTATATTACAGATTAAGTTAATATATTCCAAGTCTTTGGGTTTTAAATAAAATAAATTTATTACAGACATCAGTATTTACAGAAAGAAAAACATTTACATAAATTATTTTTTTTATTTCATTGGAGTAAAAAATTTCTCCAGGAAGTTTCTACCCACAGGAGATGTCACATTCTGTGAGAAGTCAGCCTCCTTCAAGAATTAATGGAGACAAAAAACCCAACCAGGCTTAAGTTACAACTCAACGAGTTGACTGAGGAACTGCAACGGGCTGGTCACTGTATGAAATTGTAGCAAGGCTGAATGAAAGACCTCAGGGAGTCTCTTCCAAGTCGATGTTCTTCAAGGAAGAAAGGAAGGGAATCAGTGAGTGCCTTCCATCAAACTTGCATCAGATACAGGACTAGGCCAGTGTCCAGCATGTTCCCACAGACCTCCAAAGTTTAGTGGTCTTCTTTCTTCCTGCTTAACTATAGGGATTCTGACCCAAGCTTAGGATCTCATTGTACAGCCACTGTATAAATATACACAAAGGCAATCTGCTGCCACACAGCCAAACAGCCACAGCAGGCCATGGTGGAAGAGGGGATTGGCTGACCCTTCTTCACAGAGAGGTGCAGCTCTGAGTCAGGAGCCAGGTTTGATAATTCCCAGACAAATACTGACCTACATGTTTCCTCAGATTGGCTAGTAAGTGCCATGGGGACTTACATGGAGGTCTCTGTATTTGGTAGAGCTGCATAAAGAACAGGGGAAAGAAGTGCATTTCTGTGTAACACATCAGCTGCAGATGGTAGAGGCTTGGGATTAGCTCTGGGCAAACACTCATCCTGAAAGCTCCAGGTAGGAGTGTACGTCCTGGATCATGCAGTCAAAAGTGAATAAGGTTGTGTTACTAAGGGACCTGCACCCCCCATCCTGGATTGAGACAGGATACTATACCTGTTAAACCATAGGAAATTCTGAGACTCAATATGCAGAACAAGATCTTAATTTGAATGCTCAACTGAATGTGTTTCAACTCCCTTCACTTCAGCAAGTTCCTGGTTCTAATGGTTTCCTCTGTCTACAGGCACTCAAAGAGCTCTCCATATGGGTCAGCATATTCTCCAAAAGCCCACAGCTCTTCAAAAGCCAGCTGTAAACATCTTTCCACACAGCCATGATGAAGGTAGAAGAATTTGAAGCACAGCTGAGTTTCTGACTCTCCTCCCCTGTAAAGAGAAATGCCATCTCCCTTGGTATATTCAGCAGCAAATGGGGAATTGAATCCACGTGCATGCCAAATACAGACAATAAAAGGTCCTGCTAATGACAACCACACCTTGTTGCCACCATGTCTTTATAATTTTTAAGGACCACATTCTCTTTGTCATCAAAGTAGAGAAGATTGAGGGACTTCAACTCATCTGGCACACAGCAGGGCATGCTGACATCTTCAGACAGTTTAAGTGTATGGACTATGGACTGAACTGTAGCATGGTTTGTTGCATTTAGACCTTCCCCCAAGGGGAAGAGACATGATCCTCTACAATAAAATGCATTGTATCCACTTGGATAAATAATCCATCCTGACCAGCCAATAGCATGGAAGTCAACGTAGAGTTCCCTTCGATGACATGCTGTTACTTGGCTTTTGGCAGAAGGGACTGCAGCAGCTCGAGGTCTCCTGTTCTTGCTTGCATTGCTGCTTTCGATGATCTGAGTTTCATGAGGCGCACGTAAAGCATCATTTCTGGGAGGGTTCATCTCTGTTTCTGAAAGGAAGTTGTATGTTAAATCTTTCTTAAAATGAATGAATTTCCTAAATACAGTAATCTGCATGATAATCTATTCCATAAATCTACATCAAAGTCTTCAGAGTAAATTTAAAAATGACACTTAAATTGTGAAAGTAACAGAATGGGTATGTATTTAATTGCCATTTCAGCCATATTTCAAACACTGCCAAACCTTGTGTTTTGCTTTGTAGCCTGGAAGGCCCCAACTCTGCAGAAATATAAAGAAAAATGATATAGTAAATACATTCTGTGAATTCCACAGGCCCTTTTCAGGGCCGAATTTGGTATTAAATTTATATGGCCACTCCTACAACACACATGATGCCGAGTAGTGCTAACAGAGGGTGGAGATCACAGCCTTTTCTCTCTCCAGTATTCTCCTCTCAGGAAGTCTACCCACACACTTGCAAAACAGACCGCTCCTGTAAAGTGTGATATTTAAAAATATTTTTCAGTTCTTGGATCTCAAAATATTACCACCTGGTTTATGCAACTGTGCTAGAGCACAAAGTTTACTGACAACAGTTTGCTTTCTTAAAGCATCTTCTGAGAAGCCTTGATAAATGTCCATGGAGACCTCAAGATTTATATGAAGAGGCTGAAAACCACTGTTAGACATGCAGGTAGAAGAACAATCTGTGCAGATTCACTGACCACAAACAACAGGCAGGTCTAGGGAGTTCCTTCACTGAGAAATGGGTATAAATTTCTCAATCCTAGCAGAGCATCCCATACAGAGCTTGATGCTCATTAAATTGGGATCCAGAATTTCACTATAAAATTTTTATTTGGAAAACAAAAATAAACAGGCCAACCTCGTTTTTGTTTTTAATCAATTTCACCACTTACCCTACCCAGTTTCTAATTATACAAATTCAATCGTTTAGCAGAAAACCATGCAAACCAAAACCAAACATTTTTTTCCCCTCCTCCCAGCTTTTGCCCTTTGCGTTTATCAATCTCTAAAATGCAGCCTTAGTTGGTTTTACTGGAAGACCAGTGGGAGGCAAGACACTGTTTTGTAAATTAAGGGACTAGGGCGTTGTTTTCGGTGAAAGCAGCCTTTAGTCACAATGCTAATTAGTCACTGAACTTAAACAGGTGCTTAAAAACCAAGCCAAGGACAGAGGGATTTAAATTGCTTGTTTAACCACCTCTTCCACTCTTGAAAACTGCACTAAATAACACTACTTACATTTGCTTTACCAGCATTTTTACAAAGTTCCAGTCACCGAGGGTTTTTTTTTAGCCTGAAATTATTTACAATTTTCATGCAAACTTCACCACCACAAAAATAATATAAATAGTAATTTAAAAAAAATAGAACTCTTACCCCTTCACAAACAAAATAAACCAGATTCTCCCTAGAGTTTAAGAATATTTCTGGCAAACACATTTTTCTGAGGGTAATGGCAACTTAAGAGGCTGGGTGACCTACTAGCAAGAACTATCAAACTGATAAGTGACAAGGCTGAACTTCAATCTGGTTCAACACTTTAAGTAAATATCGAGGTTAGGTATACATGAGACAGAAGATAACAGAAGATGAACAAGGAGTCCATATTCTAAAACAGAGCTACTGCTCTTGTGTGAACTTACTTGTGGAAGAGGGTACAAAGCTGGAAGACTTCCATTTGTTACTGTTGGTGAAGAGGACCAGGAGAGCATTTCTACTCTCCTGCAAAGTGCCCTGGCTCTTAGCAAACTTAACCAGGTTGTGCTCAATTCTATTGTTGAATACATGTGTTGTAGTTACCAAAAAGCCATGGTTGGAGCTGCTGTTTGCAACCCACTTGGAAACCTGCCAATGACAGGGGAAAAAAGTATTTCGATATTCTTATTACAGCATTACAATTAAGCAATGTTTGTATCAGGAAAAGGGAACAGGCAACAAGCTATGACACCATAAGAACATATATTATGACAAAAGTGAGGTAACTGTATAGCTGAGATTCAATTGAGTTTAACATTTAAATCAGTAATGCATCATTTAAAAATACAAAATACCATATGCATTCCCCAAAGCTACATTTACAGGAAGATAATTAATTTCAGAGAATTTACTAATGAATAGACGAGTCTAGGAATTAAAATTAACATTAAAATAAATACTCTCTGACTTTAGCCAGGAATTTATTTTTCATAGAAATCTTAATAACAGTGTAATATGAACTCTCCAGACTTTCCATACCATTAAAACTAATTTACATCTAACAAACATGATATTTGAAGAAATTAACGTGCAATCAAGCAAATTTACTTTATCTAATTGTTATAATTACAGACCAGTAGATAAGGCCAGACCATTCTCAAGCAGGGCTATCATGACTTAAAATGCAACTCAACACATCATCCAAGCATGCTGTTCAGTCTGATCATAAAATCTTAGGCAATGAACAACGCTGTCCATGAGTACAGATTTAAACTCAAGAAAATATGCTTTAAACCACGTTTGGTTTTTTGCTATGGAAAGGTATTCACGTACTGATAGTTTATCTACAAAACAAGTATTGAAACTAACAAATAAAGAAGTCTACAGAGGAAGTTAAATGAAAAACAATACAACCATGATAAATTCCAGAAACACAACGTTAAAGCACACTGCTCTGTAGTAATGTCACCAGAATAAAAAGGAGAAATGAAAAACCTACGCTTCACACATAATCAATGCCATCTCATTTGACAGCCTAAGGACTAACATGTTTTAATCATAATGACATACTTTGGCCTGATATCCCTTCTATCGTCTACATTTGGGTTACTCAGTTCTCATCATGCCTGTGCCGCTAGCAGCATGTGAACTCTTTTAATTCAGGCAGCACCGGCTGTACTTTTAAGTGTAGAGAGAAAGCTTCTCCCTCTGTTGCTGTCCTTCAGTTTGGTTTGACCATAAAACCCACCATAAGGGCAATGCTGGACTTATGAGCTGACTGTCATTCTAAGAGATTTAGAATTAAAATTAAGTCGGAATTCTCTGCTTACTGTCTGTGTGACGCTGAATACTTCCCAGCCTTCTGTGTACAGTGACAATAACCGTGATGCAATGAGATGTCTTTTCTGTGGCTTACTTCCACTCTCCAAGAGCTCATACACTTCCACCTTGATGAGAGAAATACAACAAAACAGTAAGAAATGAAGCCAGTTGTTCTTCCAGTAACACAAGAAGGATGAAGATTTAAACGTATGATGTGACAAAAACATGCATAAACTTCTCATTCTAAACCAGGCAAAAAGTAGTTTTTAGACAGTTTAACAGAAAAACAAGTATCACTACATGCATCTCTTCTAGATGTCTTCAGACGCAGGATACGGGACTGTTTGATACTATTGAAAAATATCCTGACCATCCCTCTTTCTATTTTGAGCATCTGATAGCATGAAAGTCTTCTGTTCCTCCACATCTTTGTCTTCAGGTCTGCAAACGTCCAGTCCTGCCTTTTGCCAAAGGAACAGACACACTCAACGTCAGAGCCCTCACCTGCCCTATCTTCCTGTGAATCCCTTATGATTATTATTATTTTTTAGACAGCTCAAGCAGATAAATTTAATTCGGATTTCAAAACATCTCAAACCCCTGAAAGGTACAGTCTGTTTTGACATAGGTCTGACACAGGTATCTTTAGGGAGAGCTTACTGCAATAGCGCACAAAGGACAGTGTACTGCCAAAGACAAAACTCTGCGTCTCATTTTTTTCCATGCTGGAGGCGAAGAAAAAAGTAAGGACAATAGTTAAATAAAAATCAAAATCAATCAGGTTTATGTGGTAAGTGGCTGCACTCCTCATTTTCAGTATTATTAACGTCGAAAGCACAAGTGTTTAACCGACAGATTATTTCCGCACTTACTTTACAAAAGTGTTTCACGTCAGACCTCCTAGACACATGTGTCCTCTTGAGCTTGAAGACCCTGAACTCGGCTTTCAGCACCTGCTCGCCCTTCTCCATTGCGCTGATGTCGAAGTAGAAGTGGTACTGGTCCACGGGAACTGGAAAAGAGCCTTCTTCAGGAACAACGCACGACCCCGAAAAACAAGCCGTACCCCCGCGTCTTCCACAGAAGCCCCCAGGTCCGCTCCAGTCTGCAGGGGGGACGCGACGCGGCAGGTGAAGGGGCTCCGCGGCGGGCGCGGAGGC